AGGAGAGAGACGAGCCCAAGAGAGAAGAGAGGAGAGAGGAAGAGGAGAGAGAGCGAAGCCGGTAGGGCGAATGGGGAGGAGAGCAGAGAGAGAGAAGCAGAGGCTGAGAGAGAGAGAAGGTGCCGAACTGGCCAGCGGGTTTCAAGGACGGCGGAGCAGAACCCAGCCTGTTTTGATGGAGCGGCGAGTCAACCGCTAAACGGTAGAATCGGAGAAGGAGGACTGGAAGATGCTGACGGCGTGATGTGTACAGTGTACACACATAACAGCGCAATCTTCTGCCACCACCAACCTACTACACACTGCAGAATAAAGGCACCGTAGCGTGGGTTATACTGCGATATAGGAGCACTCCCTAGAGTTCAGTCGCCGGAAGAATCGGCTCAGATCTGACTTACTACCGTGTTACCTAAGCTAGCGGTTGTTATCGTGGCATAGCATCTACTGGCTATTAAGTTAAGGCGCTAATAGTATAATCACGCCTTCACGCACCCGCCCCGCTGGCTCTCGATCCTTGTCTTTCATTCTCGTGTCACCCCTCTGTTCTCATCGAGCATGGTCGACTTCTCTCTCTCTCTTCGTCACTAAACCTTTCCCGCCTCCCATCTTCCCCGTTGCTTATTCGATCTTTGTCTCCATCCTGCTATCATCTGTCTCTCCTCTCTCGCGCACTGTCTCTCATCTATGCTGGGCGTGGGGTCGCCGTTCTCCGGAGGTCTGCTTCTCTCACATCTCCTCTCCTTATCTGAGTCTCCTCTCAGGAGCCACGTCCTCTTCCAATCTCGGTCACTTTCCTACATTATCGCTCTCTACGCGGTGCCGGGCCAGCGTCCGCCGCCTCCCCGGCGCCATCCTTCTATTCTTACATCGTACTGTCTCTGACCCCCTCGAACCCATATCTTTTTCTATCCTCTCGTACTCGGCCCGAGGGTCCATATCTTTTTGCTATCTTCTCTCTACCCCCGTCCCGAAATAGTCTTTTTCTATCTCTCTCTACCCACCTCCCCACTCTCTATTCTAAACTCTGCTATCGTGACCGCCCTCCCATATCTACGTCTTTTATACTCTCGTGCATATCGACCTGGCCCATACTTTCTTTCTATCTCTAACTCTAAGCGCCCTCCTCCATCGTCTCCTTTGTCGGTACGGCTGCTGTCTCCATACCTGCGGGCGGGCAGGCTCACATCGTCCTCTTTCTAGTCTGCTCTCTAGCCCGCTCCCCATTGGACTGAATAACTCTTTCTATCTCTTATACCGGAGCCCGGCTCCGGCCGCATCTCATCATTACTTCTACTGTCTCCTCAACGCCCCCTCTGAGCCCCATGCTATCTCATTCTAGTCTCTCTCCTGAGACCCCTCAACCGTATCTCGTCGTTGCTTTTATATCTCGTCTCTATGAGCCGAGCAGAGGGAGTGCAGCTGGTCGATCCCGGCATCTGCTCTTTCTAGTGCTCTCTCCGTCAATAACCCCCCTCCCCATCTTCCTCTGTCCTATCTGTCTCTCTACCCCCTCCCAGGCTCTGGGGAGTTAACGGTCTTTATGCTACGATCTCTCCGTACCGCGCCTCCCCATATCTTTTTCTATCTCTCTCTACCGACGGGCAGGGAGTAACGAGGAGCACGATGGGGTGCTCAAGTCCTATATCACTTATCTTTCGCGCTCGGTGCCCTCAGCGGTTGTGTTGGGCAATCAACCGGATGAGTGGGGAAGAGAGCGGTCCATGGGCTGGGAGTGGTGGATATCGGTCCTATCTGCGCGAGCTTGCTAGCTAGGAACCCTGTTACAGCTTGCAGCGGAAGCGTTGGGAATCGGCAGGGGCCACCGGCTTGAAGCCAAGATCAACAGACAACCAACAACATGGGAGGCCGTGACAAGCAACGACACAGAAACGAACAACAACCCGGAACTCGAATCAAACAGTTACTGGCGGGGCTAATCGGAGCCTTGTCCGACGCCCCACCGCCCAAACCGGCTGTATCGTGGATCGACGCCGGGGTCCAGGGTTGAAGTCTAAGGATAGGGGGGTCTATGGGCATGAGTAACCGGATGGCCTACGGGGCCCAGCGGCAGCGGCGCGCCCAGGGGCGGCCCCGGCCCACCCGAGCTCCGGCCGGCGCCTTCATCGGCATGTGCACGTGTATGGTCCGCACAGCGACACGCAACACTGGCACGTGGTCACGATATCGCTAAGCTCTGCAGCACGCAGATCTCGACCTCGCGCAACGCTCTCGTCCTTTCTTTCTTATCTTGTACTTCTTTCTCTCCCCCGTCTCGAGCCTCTCTTCTCTCTATCTCTTCGGCTACCGTACTCTAAATCTCTACTCTCTCTAAGCCAGCCCGCCCGGCCCGTCGCCCATCTCTCCTCCTCTCTCTGCTCTCTCTCTCTTCGGCCTCGACTCTCTCCTCCTCTCTGCTGCTCTCCTCTCTCCTCTCTCGCCCATCCCCACCCTCTCTGCTCTCTCTCGCTCGCTCTCTCTCTCTCTCTCTCTCTCCCCTCCCCACCTCTCTCTCTCGCACTCTCTACGGGGACTCTCTACTCGTACTAGGATAAGCTGTCACCATCCCTCACCACGAAACGGACATGAGAGTGTGTTACCCTCACCCTCACCCCCGGGGATATATCATCTCCCTATCTTGCAACTCGGGCACGACTTCGAGTAGAACCCGTTAACCTAAACAATCGCCTATAGCTAAGTAAACAAGCAATGCGCAGATCTTTCCTGCATAAATACGGACCTGCTGATGTTTTTGGAGGCAGGATCCTAAGTGCTAAGACTAAGTGAGCACGCGTTAAAAGAAAGTGATAGTCAACACTCGTTTGCACGAGGTGTACGTGCGTGCGTGCGTACGTGCACGCGTGTGTACGTGCGTGTGTGTGCGCGCACGCGTGCGCGCGTGTGTGTGTGTACGTGCGTGCGTGTGTGTGCGTGCATGTGCGTGCATGCGTGCGTGCGTGTGTGTGCATGCCAGGCCACTTCCATAGTAGTGCCTGCCAGCACTGCACGCGATACGCAGGCAATCACGTGGAGTGAGATGCACACAAAGGTACATGGACACTCTGGAACCGACCACCGTCACACGAACACGTCCCTCTCTCCGACGATTGTTGTTGATATTACTGTGACCGATGAATGCAGATTAGGAGTGTCAACACAATTTAAACATTTAATTATTCAACAAGTTGGGGTTGCGATATCTCGCCGCACTCTGCAGTTTACAGCGAGGTGTCCTGTCATGCGCACCCAGCTGTGGTGACGATATGACGTGGATGTTTTATCTATTTCCAGCAGGGAGCAGGGACCTTAGCTGTAAGCTAGGGTGAGTTTATGGCCATCTCTGTCTCCGGTTCTCTCTCTCTCTCTCTCTTGCCTTGAAATAGGTTCTTAGCCCCAGTGGATAGCGAGGGATCACTCTAAGTTTAGATTTTGTAGCAGTGACGTGAGGACCATGCAGAGCAGGATAGCTTGTAGCCAGTTCAGCAGGATAGGGTGTAAGCTATAAACGGGGCCCGTAGCTAGGTCGCGCAGTGAACGGACTTACCCAGGGCAGCTGGCCAGGGGTAGATAATAGTCATAATAAGTTTTACGTAGGTCCTATCAGGTGTGAATGATGACACATTTGACATAATTCACCCCTGATCCCATTACCTTCATATATCGTTTCTTACAGGTCTACGTAAGGTGTCTTTACTATATATAGAGTTTTGTACCAAGAACAGGGGTTCAGGAGGGAGGGGGGGCTTAATTATATGTGCAAAGCATAACTAGATATATATATATACATATATATCTATATATATATTCTTACCTAGATCAGTACAGGGGGTCATGGCAGCTGGATTATATGTGCAAAGTTTAGCTATATATATATATTCTTACCTTAGGTCAAAGGGTCAGGGGGCTTAACTAGTCTACGTGTGCAGTGTTTAACTATGTATGTTCTTACCTAGATCAGGGCTGAGGTCGGTAGTTTTTGGCTTGAGCAGCACGCGGAAGGCTGGAGAGTACTGAGGGGAGCGGACCATCTCTTCCACAGTGCGCGCGTCCCTCTGCATAAAAAAATGAAACTGTCACAAATGTCACCAACTTCATCCGCGACACTCGTCCTCACGTCCACCACAACCACAGGCCGTAAAATAAAGATTCGAATACTTCACCCGTTGGTAATTACTAACTACAAGCACAAGGAATGGAAATCGTAAAAGTCCGCATCCCCAACATCCCCCTTATCGGTCCAAACAAACGCTGTAGTTTAGGCGGTTTGAGGGAGTGCGATGCAAAACCGCCATGAGTGGCGAAAATTCTATCAGTTACTGTAGCCTATATATGCGTGCAACTATTTCGAGCCTCGCAACATAAGAAGCGAGCGCACGCGCACACACACACACACACACGCGCGCACGCACGCACGCACGCACACACACACGTGCGCGCGCACGCACGCACGCACACACACACGTGAGCGCGCGCGCACGCACGATTGGCTGCGCACAGTCACGTGATCTGCATTACCACTTATTTCTTGAGTAATTTTACTCACGTGTGCTGCGAAGTTGC